CAAGAAATTCGTCCAACAAAACACACTTCTGAACCTACCATATCAGAATCAGTTTCAGAAGAAATTCCTGATGTTCCAAGTTTATTTATGTTGCATGTTGGCATGCAACTAAAACAAATTAATATTGAAGTTATAACACAAGAGGATTTGAAAGATCAGTTTTGTCAAGATTTAGGAAAACAATTTGCATTAAAAATATGGAAATCTCGAATTGAATTAACTTTAAATAAGAATCAATTACAGAATCCACAATCCATAGGTGAATACGTATCCAGTTTTCCTTCATGGTTGGTAAATTTTTTTTATGCATTTTTAACTGGTATCTATGAAAAAAAAATGGCTATTGTAAATCAAAGACGAAAAGCAAGAAATATATCAATAAAAGCTAATGATCCAGTTCAAATTACCAAAATTGTTTCATTATTCTTATCCATTTTGATTAGCATTACCTTTCCTTCACTTCAAATCTGGTTTTCTACAATAATTGCCAGCCTTACACGAAAACCAAAAATGGCGGGTGATTTAACAAATCTTCTTGCTGTCTTAAAAGTTTTATCTCACTGTAAGGAACATGAACGAAGATTAGAAAAAGAGAGAATGAATAAAGTAGATCCAACAAAGCGTTTAAAAAAAAATTCTTACTTTTGGAATCTAGCCGTAATAGACAATATAGACTTTAAGGAAAAAACTTTTTCCTATGGCAATATATTTGACATTACACGTGGCACATCACATGCAACTCTTCGAATGGTATTTTAAACACCTTTACAAACTCCTATTATTGAAACTAAACACGATGAAAAAGCATTGGTATCTCATCGAATTTTTGGAATAAATGTCACTGCACAGAAAATATTAGATCTTTATGATGAAATATTAGATGAATGTTTAGGATTTTATTATTCTAATAATGATCATGAAAACTTACAATTTGAGACAAATTTTGATATTTCTACAGTACATAAAAAACTTATTGAAAGAATGGATCGAGGATGTTTTGGAGACCTACAGCATGTAGTAATTTTGGAAGCGGGTGGTATTCCAAATACAAATGAGGGAATCTTTAATGCAGCAAAAATGTATAAAAATGATTTTTCGTTAAGTTCTGATGAATATTTGGATATCGTTGCTGATGAATCTATATTTCGGCGGTTAATAAATTTACGAAAAGAGTGGCCAAACCTTCGACCTATTCTTGGTTCATGGCATACTAACAAAGATATGGCATCAGCTCTTATTAGTATATTCTCAAGCTACGGAATTTTTGATTTAGCTGCTGCAGTTGGAGTCAAATATATAGACAAATTGGAGAAGGTTGTTGACTATCGGGCTACAGTCCGGATTATAGAATTAATTTGGGTTTCAGTTGGTATAGCTTTACGAATACATTTAAAGTCAAAAAATATGCATAAATATGATATTATGGATGACAAATATGAAGAATACCAAATACTTAAAATCTGGTATTTATTTTATAATTGGGCGGGTTTATTTATTGCACATAGAATTGGTATTCGAATAGGAAATTTTAATATTCAAAAGAATACTTTAGCTGCTTTTAGTCCCCTGCTTCCTTCAGCTGGAAAATCTAATTATGCTCAATCGGTTTCACATTTCTTTGGAATTCTTGAACAATACCCCAAATTAGAGGAAAAATTGCAAGTTGCAGGGTCTTTTAAAGTATCAGAAGATAGATTTGGACATTTTATGGCATTTGACGAAGCTCTAGAAACATTCGGAGTAAAATTTATTAAGCAGAATGTTACAGGTAATGTTATAGATCAGGAAAACCTTAAGCGACAAGTGAAAGCATCTCAGTCAGAGTATGAACGAATAGAATTATTTTTGAATGAATATTTGCATAACAATACCTCTACTAATCATGAACGATCAACAAATTTAAGAAAAGATGAAATGTGGAGTTTGGTGGAGAAATTGTTGATAGCTTTTGATACCAAAGATTTCAATCATTATAATCAAACACATGATCTTTTCCATACTTCATATCCAAAAGAGATTCATGCTGATGGAATAAGACGATTAAAGGAATGCTATAAGCGGGGACTTCACCGTATACATCTCATATATGCACAAGAAGTGTTAAAAAAAGAAAAAATTGATACTACAGGACGAAGGGTAAAAGAAGTATTAGTTACCAAATGTAAAGATATTGAAAAACCTCCCAGAAAAAGAAAAAACACAAATATTTTAGATAACCAACCTGGATCATCTGATGAACCACCTAAGAAGCGAGTACGTCGAATTCCATCAAAAGAAGCTGTTGAAATACTTGCCCCGATGGTGGCCCATTCTTTACCACCTACTAAAGAAGAAGTACAACGATATCTTGCTGCACTTGAAGGTATATCTTCATCTTCAGATATTTGGGACGCAGCTCGATTAACTCAGTATTATAAAAATCGACATAAAAAAGCTAAATAATGGCAAGGAAAACGGTTAATAACAATATTTGAAATTATAAAATAAAAAAAAACATTTTAAATAAAAAAAACCTTATATTTGTTTACTAGTTAACTACATACTATATTATTTAAAATTACAATGTCACTTTAAAGCTCTATTATCTGTTATATATCAAAACTAGTATTAGTGATAGTGTATGCGACTCAACTGGACTCGCAAATCTGGGTACTTACAAAATTGTAATATTTCTTCCGTTTGGAGAATCCTTGCCATAAGTACGAAAATTAAGACCATATTTAACTAATTAAAATAAGACCAGAAGCAGGAAAAAGTAAGAAATTTCTTTAGAAATGTATAGTTTGAAACTTGGAAAACGAAGTTTATTTAGAAAGAATTCGCAGTTAATATATGACAATTTGACGTTAATATATTCCCTAACTTCTACGAATGATTGTTACACAAAACAATTTAATTAATGATCTGCACTCAATCAGACATATCGCCTGACTGTTAAGCCTATTAGGTATACTTCAGACATGTATATCGGCACTATCTGATAAATGTACGATATCTATCCGATATTTTACTATAATATATCGGGTATCTGATAAATCTATGATATGTGACTGATATTTGACTACCTGATATGTATAAGATATGTACATGATGTTTACAATATATGTCACCGATTTTCTACATTTTTACTACACTTATCGGGCACCTGATATATGTAGTATTGTTAAATATCATACACATATATCACATATATTGCACACATATCGGGTACCCGATATGTACCCGATAACCTTGATTTTGACCAGTGTTTATGGTCTTCATACCTTTTTGAAAGAGAGTTGATTATAAAAAAATATTTACTGATTATGAAAATACATACCTTTTATGACGTATTTTTATAATTACGTTTTGCAATTTCAAAGAATATATCATGAAAAATTCTTTTTACCAAATCACGTTAATATGACAGGAATTAACCAATTAAAATGTTGGTGTAATTGCTGATTATTCTAGAATCATTCCAGAACGTGATCTATTACACAATCCAATTTTGGAAATATCCCAGACTGAAGTAGTTAATATGCTATTTAAAGAGCTAACATGCATAGAATCAATTCCTAATATAATAATTTTCGTTAAATTTAATAAATATAACTGAAAAGTTGATATAAAAATTAAGATTCTAGAGCCGTTAGAAGCTTTTCTAATATATTAATAAAAATCAATATGTTTTCTGAAGTTGGAGAACCCACACAGAATTAAGAAATATAATATCAAAATTAAGATTCTAAAACTAATAGAAGCTTTTCTAATATAATAAGAAAAATCAATATTGTTTTTAACGTTCTATGACCTGTACACACAATGTTTCAGTGGGGGCTGGACCTTCAGTCCTTAAACTCCCACTTTCACATTGTATTCTTTTCTTTTTATAGGATTGTTCAGAATTTTTTTCTTTTTTTAAGTCAGTTCAAATTTTCTTTTTTTTTTTTGTAAGTTGGGTTCAGATTCTTTTTTTCTTTTTATAGGTTTTTTCAGTTTTGTTGCTTCAGAATCTTCTTTTTTTGTAGGTCAGTTTTGGATTTATTTTGTTGTTTTAGTTTCTTTTTCATCAGATGCTTCATAATTCTTTTCATTTATATAGATCAGACATTCTGGAGTTCTCTTTCTTTTTTTGTAGGAATGCTAACTTTTGGTAACTTGGACGATTGCAGATACTATATGAAGGGGAAGTTTTGTTTCCAATTAAGTCAGTTAGACATTCTTATGTTTCTTTTTTTTATTTTTTTTAAGTTGTTTAACTTCAAATGAACCTGAACTTATAGATAATTTTGGTTGCAATAAGTGGTTTTAATAAGGAGAGAATTATTTGTATTTTATTTATTTTTTATTTTTTATTTAATTTAATAAAGTAAAATTAGATTTATGTAAATATAATTATAATAAACTGTAATACAAATAGTAAATTCAGTGACCAAATCATATAAATTTCATGATAAAATCAGTGATCAAATCATGTAAATTTCATATGAATTCTGTGCAAATTCTGTATCCAAACCATATTTTTAGTAATACAAAATTATGCATTTTTTTGTATCCTATTATGATATGTTATTTTTAAGGAAAAAAATCATATAAAAACTTTATACCAATTTTTTTATAGGGTATATTGCTTTTTAATTTAATATGTTTTACTTTTCTATCACAAATTTTACTTTTTGATTTTATAAGTTTTATCATCATTTTATTCTTTACTTTTTTACATGAGTTTTATTCTTTATACTATAATTAATAGTCCTATTAAAAATAAATAAAGTATGAATTTAATAATTAATAAACTTTAATTAAATGTTTTTTTTTAAACCATTATAATACAAAAAAAAATTTGCAAATAAAAGTATTGCAAATTTTTAACAAAAATAAATTAAAATTAACCAATTAAAATTGATTGGTGTAAAATATAAAATTTTTAGAGGGGGATTTAATCTGAGTTATTTAACTCAAGAGGCAAATTAACAAAACTCAAAAAAAATACTTTTATAATATTTTTTATTAAATTTTTATATAAATTTTTTTTTAAGTATTAATTTAAATATAAATTAAGTTAATAAAATAAGTTGAATATCTAACTGTAACTTGAAATTAGGTTATAAATTTAATAATTTAACCTGAATATTTTAAATTAATCTATTAGATTATTTAATTTATTAGATTAGATTTAAAGCTTTAAATAAAATTACCATTATTTAATTTGTTTAATAAAATAACTATAATAAACCTATTTCAAATATAATAAAATTATATTTTATATATAATTATACTTTTTTATAATCACAGAAAATAGGTTATTCCAATTGACTGTAATATTAATTATTCTATAAAGTAAGAAATTTAAATGTTATACAAAAATAATACAAAAGTAATCACTTTTAAAAAAACTTTATAATATTAAATTTTACAATTTACTAAAAAAAAAAAATTTATTAAAATTGGATTATTGAATACTAAAAAATTTGCAAAAAATAGGTTTTTTAAATTTTAGCAAAAAAAGGTAAATTTATATATTAAATATTTAGAATTTTATACATAATATTGAATTATATAAATAAAGCATTATTTTTAATAGGTTTTATTTTTTATCATACTTGCATTATATATAGAAAATAATAATTTTACGCAGATACGTTGCAACGCATCCTTCTTTTTTAAAAATTTTTAAATAGTAAATTTGTTGATCATTTATGATCATATTATGATCAGCAAATTTACTATTTAATAATTTCCAAAAAAGGTAATGCGTTCAAACGTAAATGTATTTAAATTTTAAACTTTTATATATATTGTACTTCTATAATATATTATACAGTCAACTCCCTCTATAGTTACTCCCGTTATAGTCACATTCTACTACAGTGACACCTCTCTAAGTGCACCCTCCTTGGGACCATAGTAAAAAAATAGTAGAATGTGCACTTAGAGAGGGTGTGCATTTATAGAGAGTAAAATATTAAGAGCTCTTATAAGTTGGGACCAGGCCTACCG